CCTTGAAATATCACTTGAATAAAATTCCCTTTCGGAAAAACAGTTGATAATCGAAGTGAGATTTCTGATAGAAAAGTTGTTTACTGATAAAAAAAAATAAAAATAAACCGATACATTTCTCGCTTCGCTCAGTCTAATACAATCTTATTCTTTTCATTAATGATTCACGTTTAAAGTTTAATACGGAGAAAATAGAAAGACTGGTAGTCAAGAGGAACAAATGCGGACTTGAATTTAGTACGTGCTTTATTATTGAATCGAACTAGTTTATTTAGATCCCTAGGGACGCACGTTGGATAATTAAATTTAGTATAATATGATTAGTTGGAGAAATATCCATTAGTCATTAGCGATATATTATTATGCCGACTTCATTGCGCAATATTTTAAATCGTTTGCTAAATAATATTACGTTCGGTTCCTGTGCAATATTATATTTCGGAATAAAAGTACTCGATTTAATTTGAACTATATTAAATCAACCTTTGTGCGTGTTTTAATTCTATAAACTTAAAAGACTCGAAAACCGAAAACATACAGTCTCTTTGAAAGGCGTCCCGCGTTTGAGGCCCTAAAAGGACTTTCTACTTGATTATAAAAAAAAAATAATAATTGCGGAGTATTTCGCTTTGAAATTAAATTCTACAAGATCAATAAATACCTTTTTTTTTTTTTTTTTTTTTTTCTTAGTTACAAGTCCGTTTTACATAATATAGAATCTTTATCAGAATCTATTGAAAGTAACACATTTTCCAAATTACGCGAGGAAAAAAACCCGTTCTATTGAATTACCAGTCCGACAGTTTTAATATTTTTCCTGCGATATCTAAATTATTTTTATATTATATTATGTTTCATTCGTACGCCGAAGTATCTTATATGAATTATTCTTTTCATAATATTTAACTGTATATTGAACCGATAATTGAAAAAGGTTGGAATTTATTTGTTGGGTCTTGCAAATCGATGTTTAACTTCATTATTGAGAGATTTCCTGTAATTTATTCATCAAAATTATCTATGGGCCCGCAATATTGTGTACAATAATTATATTATGGTGTAGTTGTTACGAATTATTATGTACCACCTCATCGATTGGATTTAAAACAAAAAACAAAAATCGATTTATAAAATTATCTCTGTTTTCATTATTTGCGTATTTATTTGATAAACAAAATTTAACGATACTAATTCAATTCTCCGAGAAAACCGCTCGATTCGTGTGGATCACCTGGTTTACGCATAATAAATGTATTTTTGTAAAATTATGGACCCTAACAATGAACTAGCCATTGGCCAATAATTTCATTAATCCAGTTCTTATAGTATGTACATGTGGTATTTGAATAGGCATTTTTTAAACCCAGAAATCTATAATTATATATGTATAATGGGCAACTGTCCGTCTAAATAAATAACTAATAAATATGTACATGTACACAATGTAATGTATATTATTTTGTTTCGAGATTTAGTCGATACAGACGAGTCTGATAGAAAAGAAAAACAGGAAACAAATATAGAATACGGTATGCGTTCGTTTCGCTGATTTACGTTTACGTATTACGTGTTTATTCAAGAGTATGGATCTCGAGTGGTTTACTTTGAATTTCGTATTAGATATAATATAAATATTGTACATAGGTAGTGGAATAGGTAAAAGGAATATTTGGTTAACCGTTCGTGTGCCGCAGCCGTAGACATAGTTAGGTAGAGAGGTATACCGAAGTAGGAAGCCCGAAACGGTGCGGTTTTTAGAAATAATAAGTAATAGTAAATGTGTGTTGCATAGTTAACGTGCGAGGGAAATATTGCGCAGGAAACGTGCCACTTTAACGGTTTAAATATTATAATATGTTAATAATAAGTTATTATTATTTAACATTGTGATTTAGTGCACGATAAACAGGGGTTCATTATTTAACCACCGCCTGTGTATATTATTAACGGCTCGGCGTTGTAAGTGTACACCGTTAACGATTCGATTAACTTAAGAGTCGTTGTAACAAACTGACGGTAAGGCTAGGTACGTAAATGACGCATAGTTTAACTTAAAAAGTTTTTTTTTTTTTTAATTTCATATGGCGTAATATTGATGAAATTAATTGAGGGATAGATTAAGATTAATAGCAAGAGATGGTGGTTACATATACCTTGTTCCTTTCGTATTATAATTAAATAGGTCCACAAACCCGGGCTCCTTGAGTAGGGCCACTTATAAGATGCTAATTTTTAACACCGCATTCTTCCCAATTATTTTGCCATGTCAATTCCAATTTCCCTATGGTCCAAATCGGGTATCTCGATTTTAATCTCTTATACCAAGTTTTGGTGCGTTTTTTGTGTCATTATATACTGGGAGGTTATTTTAATTATTGGCTTTCTATAAAATTTCAGCAATTTCTACTTTGTATGCCTTTGCATTACTATTTAATATTTTAAAGAACTAGAACTCACTGTAGCTTGGTTGATCGGTCACAACCAGTCAAAATTCTCATAATATTATTCAGTTATGGATCTGTCTTTTTCATATGTATGCCTTTTCCCCATACTGGAGCTCAACATTCCACAACGCTTTATAACACAGCTAACAGGGACATTTACTTTATAATCCTAGCTTGTTCCAGCTGATTAATTAATGATATTATTTCTAGTTTTTAATTTTTTCTTAAACTCTTCGAGGTACTGGTTAAATGTTAATGCTCTATCCATCTTAATACCAAGATTTTTGGGACACCAACACTCATTAAGTTGACACCCCGGGCCACTAAGTTAGGTTTTTTACTTAAAAGTTTAAAACAGACCTGCGAATACAACGACTTAGCGGTATTATAACCATCAATAAATTGATCAAAAATTGACCAATTTTCACTGCTTAATAATAAAATCAGTTTTTTTATAATACCCGATAATAAAACCAAATATCCACTGTGAGTACACAGAACTACATTATCTCATTAGGTCTAGTATCAGTAGAGTACTCAAAGAGGGTGATATGAGTGATACATCAGAAATAAGAAATACCTTAATCAGGCCACTGTTTTGTATGTTATTTTGTTACGTAATAGTTAACGTAAATAAACAGCTGCCGATTTATTTATAATAGTTTGAGGTTAGATTTGGCATACAGGACATTATAGTAATGAAATTTTAAAATCGGACCATTAGTGTATCGCTGAGCTATCTAAAAGACATTTCATAACAATCACAGTCATAAAACACTTGAAAATTTCCAAAATTACTTCAAGATATTCTACACGGACGGTGATGCGCTGACGGGGTATCAAATAACTGATGACTCCAGATACGAAAAGAGAATATTTTCGTAAACATTTGACATGCATAACACTATCGGTTTTACCGTTTATGAGTTATTGCGATTTAAAATTTAAACCGGATGATTAGGGAAGGGTGATAAATTACATATCCATTTATATATGATAACCTTCCCCTACTAAACGAATATATCCGATATTATATGTAATTTTTCCAGAAAAATATTCTCTTTCTGAATCAGTGTTTAAAATCTGATGTTAAAAAATCAAAAGTCGATATGTGTTTTATTGCCCATGGAATAAGAGTAATATTTTAAATACATCATTCAGTACAAAGACCGGATGTCGAATACAATCATTATTTATTTCCGATACGCGATCTTCTTCCTCGTCATCGTCGCCTTTATCCCGCGCAAAAAAAAAACAGGCGTCAGGAACTACTCTCATATGTGCTAGTAAGTTCTTCGCAAATCCCTAATATAGTATAACCTCCGAAATCGTAGTTTGGATTGATCCGTGTATTCGGATTATATTATATTCTCGCAATCGAAAAACCAATTGGATATATAATATTATATAAGTTTATGTCCAGCTGCATTAAGCGCTATAAAAAGTATTCGAAATTTTACCTGACAAAGAGGTTTTCTTTTCATATTTGATCGAAAAATATGTATACGGTCAAAATATAATATTGTAAATATTATCTGTTGTGATATGAACGCGTGAGGTTGAATTTAGGACCAATTGACAAATTAATTAATTAGCCTACAGCACACCTACCTACAGTAGGGAAACTGGTGAGATAGGATATTAAGATATAATAATATAGAGTAATTTAATTTATATTTGTACGGAACGATAAATAAACGCTAGCCAAAAACATGTTCGTGTTCTGAATTGACGAGATTTTAATTTATACAAATTTGAACTTAAATCGCTAATGAAAAAAAATATACACAACATTACGCTACATTCGTTTGTTTTTTTTTTTCATCATTAAGTAAAATCTACGACGAACCTCGTATTAAATTTTAAGTTACTTTACCAAACTACTAAATAACACAGTAGATTGCTCTGAATTAACAGAACGGCTTAATTTTAAAACCGTCACGACTGATTCTAGAAAAAAACCAGTCGTTCAATTTACCAAAAATATTTAAACATTGTGTGCGATTTTCACCCTCGAAAAGGTATACTATGTCTATAGAAAATAATTATACTAGTATAGATCTATTTCACACAACATTTATCAGTATTACCTATACATGCCCCAGTTGATAATTAATTGTTTCTTTTATTATATTCGTGTTCTATGTAACTATGTATTCGTATAAATACAGATTCTGAACGTTTATAATTATTATTTACTACTATGCGTTTTCATAAAAAATTAAAATTGCATCAATATTATTTATATTACCCATGTAAAATTGGTATAAATTGGTTTTTTTCCCCATAAATGATAATAATTATTATTACGAAATCGTCGGTTTAATTTATTTTTTTTTTTCGGTTTAGTCGGTTCGGCTGGTTAGTTTGTAATCAGCAGTCAATGGAGAGGGACTCTTATTTAAAGTACAATTATCCGTTCCCTTTAGTTTGAGCTTTAGAAATCGGCGCTGTTTAGTCATTGATATCACCGTGGTAGTTTTTTTTTTTTTATGAATTATTAGAAATAAATAGTTCTTTAATACCTATCGAATTACACATAATCAGGTTTTATTATTACTTTTCAGACATAATACGTTTAGGACGATTTCCTGAATGTTCGGTTGGGTTTAATGAGTTCTCGGGAACGCAATTTTCCGACAAACATGGTCCGCCCCGGACGGAGTTTTTCCCACTTAACCGCATGTCCCAGAGTACGCACGGCTTTGGTTTATCAACGACGACAGTCTTTGCAATGGCCGGGCTACCGCGGCTTCCGGACACGTCGACCGTCGCGCGGAATCGTGTCGGACCGCAAAACGCCCCGCGGTGTTTTTCGGCTGTATCGCCGGTAACGTGCCATTTCATCCGTGCGTGTCATCACAGCGATATACGCAATGATGTACCTAAGCCTTTCTTATGGAGGGAAGAGACGAAATATATTTTCAATCGCTATTAAAATGGAAAATTTCTTAAAAAAGTAACTTTATGGCTATAACAATTTCTATTAATAGACACGGGAGAAATGGGCTCTTTTGTATTTCTAAAATATAGCAATTTAATACATCAAAAAAGAAATTTGTGTTCAATTAAATATATAATATTTTAATGCGTGTTATACACTTATAATACTGAGTCTAATCTCCGATTTTTGCACAGAAGAAAATCTTTCAATGATAATATCGTCCACCGGTATACTTATTTCCTGGTAAATATGCAGCAACAGTGCAAGCCCGCATAAGCGATCCTGGTAAATTTATTTTTTACATAAAAATCAGTGACAACGACCGAACCGCCAAAACGAAATGATAACATCAGAAACCTTGTACCGATTCGACCCATTGAGTAACATAGAGATGTCGTATCGTATCTCGGCAATATAACTGTTGTGAAGACAAATGTTCAGTCATTCACTCCAGTTGTGTCACTTTACGATCCAGATCTCTACTAGATGGCATTATTAAGACCTACGTTTGATTGATAATACAAGTGATATACTAGTGCAAAACTGTAAACGATAAATTAATAAGCTTAAAACTTAATATTGCAAGTAGAACATCCGTAATTATTAATTATTAATTAAATAAATTAAAATTATAATGTTCAGTTGTATTTTTTGTGGAAAACCATACACATATTAATTATTAATAAATGGACTGAGCTTTCCTCACCTCTCGTCTACGGTGTTCGTGAAGTAACGCGTAATAGTAAATCTAAAGAAAAAATATTACGTTTCATAGGTAGTTATGAATGTAACTTTTTTTTTTTTATTAAATCATTATAGATTTACAAAATTTATTCCACAAATACCTTGTACCTTAATATGTTTATGTTATTTTGGAAAAGACAAAATTAAACAATATTTTTGCTCCTCGTTATCTGGTCATACTGGAAGTAGACCTCTTTCGCCTCAATTGAAAATCGAACGGCATCTCTATATTACTCAATGGTTCGACCATAGATAACAAAAATATTTTAATATCTATGGATTTGATCGTGACGTTGTTATATTATTAACTACTTCATGAAAAAAAAAAATCCAAAGAAATTGTGAAAACGCTAAAAACAAATAGACAGTGTCTACATTATACATATAACATGTAACCATATACGACCCACGGGGGGGAGACAAACGCCTCTCTCGCCCCCCCCACCATGGCATGTCACCGGATATACGCAAAAATTATTATTATTATGGAAATACATTTTGTTTCTCTCCCGTCGCGCAACTACCGCCACCCCAACTTCTACTCCTTCCCCGTCCACTGCTCCGAGTATACGGCCCCGGGGCCTTTACCGTAATAACGACATACTATTTCGCGCGTATAGCTCTCTGCCGGGAGACTCTCTCCTGCACCCGTCGACCGTTATAATATAATATTATAAGTCGCCGTTTTGTACAAGTGACGCTCGTTCTACCGAAAAAGCTAATAACGATTTTCTATTCCTTCTCCCCGTTTTTCGACTGCGGGGCGAACCGAATTCGGCAACCCAAAAAATATACAGACAGGTATTATAGATCATATAGATATGCCGTAGGGTGATTTCTTCGTATTTCATTTGTCACGGTCCAGCGGTTTATTTGTTTCTATACGGCGGTTTATTCGGTAAACCACTATTCCGCACGTTTCGCCTTTTTGGGAACACGATTCCGTTCGATTTTGATAAAATAATGAACTGTCAAAACGACCTCTAAAACAACACGATTCCGCACAATTTTTTGGACGATGTTGCCATCTATTTTTTTTATTATTGTCAATTCGTTTGATTTTCTTAAATATTATAACGTTATAAAAAAAGTTTATGAACATGAAAAAGTCAAAATTAAAATGTTATCAATTAAATTGTGTAGTGAAAATTGTATAACAATTTTTTTTAACAACTAACTACAAACTACTATAAAATAAAATTTTTACTCCTGAAGAAATAATCATGTGTAAATGTACGTTTATTTGGACTTCTCAAGCGAGAAAAAATATATCACGGGTACCTAAAAGTAATTTTGTAAACAGTTAATTGTATAGAGCCGAATATAATAATAATTCGGCGCATAATTAAATACAACAAAAGCTTATCTGATATATAACAATTGAATCGCTGTTGTACGTTGTATAAATGTCACAATAATAGTTAGGAATACCCTACGTAAACCGCTATAACCAGTCAAATAGTCAAATACCTAAGTATACTTATGAAAATCTGGCAACATTGCACTGAAATCTCAGGTACAAAACGTACGGAATTGTGTGACTTAAAATGTATACGATTCCGTTCGCTGATGAGGGCCCGTAAGGAATCGTGTTTTACCCGTATTTTTCCCCGGCCGTTATTATATTTATACAAACGTTTTACCGCTAAATTACGCTGTTACTATGTGCACGCCGCTTTTAATTTTCAAATATAGCGATTCGTGATCCGAAAACAGGATGAATTTTCTTAACATTTTAATACGTTTTAGCACTGATATATCGTCTTAATATTAATATTTCATTACCCTATTCTTCCGGTCTTGCAAACGCTTAAGGTACTAGATATAATAATATGACCGGAATTTTCAAAGATTTTTTTTTCGAATCTGTGTTAAAAAGGTATGGGAGAAGGAAGGGTGTTTCTTGAAAATCAAAAGAAAAAACTTGAGTGTGTTAAATTTAAGGTATGAGTTGTAAAGGATAACAATTTGAACAGTATTAAAACTCAAAAGAAAAAAACAAACCAGGAATCAAATTTACTTAAAATCATCCGAGAAAACAGCCAGATCATATTATGATTAAAAAAAAAAAAACACCCACCCTGTATATATTATATACAACGGGATTCTGTAAAAACGGCGCACAAAGTGGTGGATAGTATTCCGGTCATCGCTTTTTCTGCAAGTCGACTCCACCCGCTACACACTGCCGTTTTGGCAGCATTGACACGTTAACAATACGATCTACCGCGCCACTCGTGAGTGGTGTACAGAACATATTATTATTTATTTATTTCTATATACGATAGTAAACGAAAACCGTTTCGACCTCTCGTAAAAAATATAAAAAATAATAATAATAATAATAATAACCGTTCGAAATCAAACGACTTAACGGAAATGGATTTTTTTCCGAATCTATCGTATAATAATAATATACGCTTGTCCATCATATAATTGTCCACTATACTTCATTCTGGTATTGTATCTTATTTAAATAAATAATAGTTATCGCGATAAATTGACTATTGAGCTAAGTATATTTTTATATTTAGAATCCAGACCATTCCCCACTAAGGGGTTTAAGACTGCTTCCCCTCTCCTCGAAATAAAATTACGTAATACGACCTTTTCCCCCAATTAGACTAATTTTAATATTCGTATTGTATTATAACTGACTGTCATTAAAAAATTTAAAAACAGTACAAATGTATTTTTTGTGTTTTAAAAAATTGAAATACCTTTATTATTATATTTTTATAAAATTAAGTTACCTACACGTTTTGTTTTCCATAATTCATATCGATTTTTTATTACTTTTATATTATATAATTCTATTTTATAAAACTATTCCTAATGCAATAATAATTTCATAATATTTATTATTAATATTTTATTGGCGTAATTAGCGTTACTGTAATTTATCGACAGCTGTCGTCGAAATGTGTTTAAAAAATAATAATATGAAAACAGAAAAAAAACGTTCGAACATAATATTCTTATCTCTTTTATCTTGTCCAGATAAATGATATAAATGTTTATCTGAGATAAATAATTAGATCGTCTAGATATAAATTGTAATTAATCTATTGATTAAGAATAATCGATAATATATAATTAATTTACATTACTTATGAAATATTAATATGGTTTAACAATTGATTATTGAATGACTTACATCAATCGCAACCTCCATAAACCTTTTCAAAATCTAACAGATATCTGCAATACTGGTAAGCGCATAATACATTCATGTTACTAATTTTGTAAAACGCACTGTTGACACAGAATGAATAGTATAATTTTTGCCTAATAGCTTACCTAACCTAACCTATAACCTAACATGCTTGGTAGAGCTTGTACACAGTATCAATTTTATAACCTACACTATTATTATCTATAATCGAAAATTAAGTATAACGTATATTCCGTAAAATATTTTCGTTCATATTTTCATTCAATTTCGCACAATTGCGCTTGTAACAGTTTCATAATAATTCTAATAATAAATTTAAACACTATCATGCTGATAACTAAGAAAAGAACAATAATTTGTGATGAACGTCGACTTTTCAATTTTTGAGTTGATTTACACCGTGTCGTCAAGAATAAAGGTTAATTATACATTTAAATTTTTTCCTAAAAGTATTTTTAATAAAAAAAAATGCTGCATAAATATGAGTATTTATGGGTGTTTTATAAATCCTGAGTCAGACAAAGAATATATTGGTATTATAATTATAACGCAATTTTTTTGTCTGTAAACAAATTTTCTACCAGAAATTTTCCTCCAATCAATAACTTAACAGGAACTTATTTTTAGTATTTTTAATCAATTTGGTGTATAGAAGAAGTCATTTTATCGTACTTGTAATTTTCTTAATAAAGCGGAAAAATGCCAATTTTTAGTGTAATTTTTGTTAATATTTCTGGGTTCCCTTGGCAACAAGGAAGAAAATACAACTAATAATACTGCTCGGAATTATTTTTCAAAATGATTTATCATTACGTGTAATTAAAATAAATTAAACTACTCTATATACTCTCTCTTATAACTTCCCCCCTAAAACAGTAACACACCCGTCAATGGTATCAGCCATTTTAATGTAATTTTTAATAGTATCCAGCAAAATTCTTAGTAGTACATTAATATGTACACATTTTTTTAGATTCTGAGGGA